GCGATGAATTTGAAGAAGAGATTGTGGTCATGAACGTCGGGAGAGAACCAATTTGGAGAACGTGGCTGGAACGCCCTAAACAAGAGACCAAAACAGCTGGAGCGTTAGTTGAGGACCTTCTTGAAATCCCTTCTTTGCAAGCAAAAACACGCGATTGGTCTTCAGAAAAGTTCTTGATTGAGCAGAAAATCGAATCCGTAACAGATCTGAGCTCCTTCGAAAACATGGTTGCCTAGGAGGGGTTATTAAGCCCCTTTAGACTGTTTCATTTTCCTGCAAGTGCATCACAACTCTAGGTCAAAGCCAAAACACTTAACATATCAAGAGGACACGATATTTGTTAGGGTCACTGTAGTATCACGCCATAGGAAACCTGCTGATTTGCACCTATTTTAACTGTTTCATCTCAGTCCAACCAATGCACCAAAAGAGGAAAGGCTTTGGACGTTAGATCGACTTGGATGACTTTGTTTTTTAGTTTCATTTCTGTAGAATTGAGGGTTTCTTTTTTGTATCACAAAGTGGACACACACAATGACGGAATACGTAAACTGACCGGCCGTTAGGTATGATGAGCCATATCGTCCATTTTGGCGTATGGCCTTTTATTACTAAATCTCCAGCACTTCAGTGTTATATGTCTGGTCAGCCTGTCTAAAAAAACGTCATGGAAAACTCACAAAAGCGTAATACTAATCAGTATCAAAGACTCCGAGAAGCTTGTAGAAGAACGAAAGAGTTTTGCAGAATGTGGCAATTACATTACAAAGGAAGTCTTAGTTTCCATTATTAGAACATTTTTGAAAGAATTCACAATAAACCACGTAAGTTTATTTGGCTTCCCACTCAATTGTGATTCAAACCACAAAAACAAAGAATACACAAGAAATTCCTGTCTCCATCAGTGACTTACAACTACGTCAACGTTCCTGTTGAGACAGATTTCTTTGTAGATCAGTGAGCATGCTATCATCTAAGCGCTTTCTGTCAAAGATAACAGTAGTTAACAGACCACCGAAGCGTGAAATAGTTGTAACAATTTTACTTAATTGTCATTTTAAATAAAATTTGCGTTATTTGTTTCACTTCTTATGAAGGTGCCTCATTCACTAACAACGAGTGCTAGCCAAATCCGATTGAAATTCACTTGGGGTGATGTAAATATATATATTAATTGTTCTAAACAGAACAGAGAAACGAGAACAGAGCGACGAAACCTTAAGTACTGATAAGGCCAAGAGGTCACACTTCTTTACGGTTTTTAAGAACCAAGACAGCAAGAGGGAGTCACCACCTGTACCACCATAGAGTGATGCCTGAAACAGGCTCATCAATCATGAGAGAGACGAAACTCAAATGTCAAAGGAAATTACCATTTAAAATTACTTATACCCGTTTT